TGGGTGTGCAGCTTGAGGGGCTAACCAGGTAGTGTTCTGAAGCTGGCCTCTGGGTGTGTTGTTTCTGGTGTCTCTTGGGTGGGGCTCCCATGCAGGCCAATTTCAATTTTGCCTGTGACCAGCCCCAGACTACCTGGTAAATGCGACAATGTTGTATGTGGTTGGCTGCTGCATGTGCTGGACCTGGAGGCATGTGGCGGGTGGTCTCGTTAGGAGCTGAGGCCAGCTGCCACCAGTATTGCACCTAAGGCACCTTAGCAAAAGGCCCAGGGCCCCCTAGTCCTGTTGCTTCCTGCCAGCTGCCCGTAAGGCTCAGCCATTGAAAGTGCCTCCTTAGGCGCATGGGCAGGGGTGGTTGACCCGGTATTGAGAGTGTCCCCAGGCATGTAGCACTAGCTGGGTGGGGCAAGGTCTTGGGGATTCATGGGGTGTGGGCAGTGATTTTTACAAAGTTAGTGCAGATTCGGTTCTTGAAACAGTGCTGGGACCGTGACCCCTTTGCAAAACTCCCTGAGAACACCACAACCAGCCACCACTCGCCTCAGGCCTGCAGGTCCCTGAGAGCTGCCCAAGAGAGGCTCCAAGGCAAGTTGTGGCTGACTGGCCACCACCGAGAGTTCTCCAGGCTGACGTGGGCTGTCTGCTGCTGTCAGTTACTGACTTTGCTCTCCCTACAGGAACAGCTAACTACTATTCCTGAACAAGTCACCACTGAGAGAATCCTAGGACACGGGGGATGAGGCTGAAGCCCCCCTGTACCACAGAGACCAAGACAACTGAATTAAAAAGATAAAGGACAACACAGTGCATGGCAGCTGAATCTAAGAATTGATGGGAGGATTCAGTGAGATCACCTACATAAGTCACCAAGCAGGTGTGGTAGAGTGGAATCCAGTCTGTCTATTGACCACAAAAATTCTCCCTAGTTGAAGATTTCGTGTATTTGCATATCAGAATTGATAACTCCATTAGCATCCTGTCTATTTGGGTCATTTTGACCTTATCAAGTACTCTGTGATTACTGAACACCTAGATAAACTGAGTATTATGAACACAGACTTGTGTTCCTGAAATAGCATGTTGATAAAGCCCTCATATTTCTGCCTTACTCTTAATTTACTGAGTCATAAAAATCATACTTTTTTTATTAAAAAAGACAACTTGAGTTATTGCAATTCAGCCATTATATGTGACCACTTATAGTTCTTATTTGGTTTAACTTTTAAAACAGTGAAAGAGTGCAAACTACAAGGGGTAATATTTTTTATTGTTAAATGAAAATCTTACCTTCTACATGAACTATTTTACTAAATTTTAATATTAGTTTAACAATGGACATTCTTCTTATTGTTATTTATTAAATGGTCCAGCACCCTCTAATGTTATTCATTATTGCAACCGGCCAATACATTTTTTTTAAGAAGATTTTATTGGAGAACTGGGGGAGGGGAACAGTGTTGGGGAATTGGGGAAGGGGACCAACCAAGTAGTTGTTCTTCAATCTTCGTTGTGGAGGGTGACAGTCGCCATCTGGCTTCCCTTCGGCAGCTCGTGGCCTCTAAGCTCAAGGTGCTGTGTTCAATCTTAGTTGTGGATGGGCGTAGCCACCTTCCCATGTGGGAGTTGAACCAGCAGCCTTGTTAGTAAGAGTGCACGCTCTATCCACTGAGCCATCCATGGAGCAGCTCAGCTCAAGGTGACAAGTTCAGTCTTAGTTGCGGGTGGGTGTAGCCCACCATCGAACAGGCAGTCTTGTTGTTACACCAGCTGAGCCATCCTGCCACGTGTTGGCAGCTCAGCAACAGCTCAGCTCAGGCGCAGCATCACTGGTCCATGTGGGACTTGAACCGGCGGCCCCGTTGCTCAAAGCCTGAGCTCTTAAACCAACTCTTAACCAACTGAGCCATTCAGCTGGCCCGGCCAATACATGTTTTTAAAAATGCATTAATGTGGGCCGGCCAAGTGTTGTTTTGGTTAAGAGCTGGTTTGGGATGCCAGAGGACCCTAGTTCGGATCACAAATATGAGGGCCAGTGACACTGTCCTCTATAGCTAAGATGCTGAACAACAACTCAACCTGGAGCTATGTTGCCATGAGTCAACGGCGACCAGCGTAGGCTGCAGCTCCTGCTGCAGTGGGTTGTCATGGGCTACCGTGTGTAGCCAGCAGCCAGCATGAGCGGCCCAGCAGCCGCAGTGAGCGGCCGTCCAGAAGCCGGTGACTGATCTGCCTCACCCAGGAAGAGCGCAGTGATGGTGCCAACTTGGGCCAGTGAAGCAACGTCCTCCAGTACTAGACTGAAGAACAAAAAGACAGCACCTTGTCTGTTCCCCTTCCCCCAATTCCCCAGCGCTGTTCCCATCTCCCAATTCCCCAATAAAAATCTTAAAAAAATACATTAATGTAATTAAAAATTATTAATCTATAATACATTATTGTACTTCAGCTTCAGGTGTACAGTGCACTGGTCAGGCAACTACACAGTCTATGAAGTGATCCCCCTGATAAGTCCAGTACCCATCTGGCACCTTACATAACCTTTACATTATTGATTATATTCCCCATACTGTATTTCATATCCCCATGACTCTATTGTGTCTAATATACACTTTCTAATCCCTTCACCTTCTCCCCCATATGAATTTATCTTCATTTTGCTCAGTATCCTACTTAATAAGTTGAGACTTACTAGTCTCTTAAATGTTTTCAACCTGAGTTCTATTAATCTTGGTTTAACAATAGCTATTTAAAGTTATATATTTTATTTCACTAGAATTTTGGCCATGTACCATGGGTTTTATTTTTTATTTTGTCTTTTTTTTTTTTTTAGTTTCAGGTTTACAAAGCAATGTAATAGACATTTACACCCCTCACAAAGTGATAACTCCCCTCCCCCAAGCTACTACCCCTCTGACATTGTATATAGCTGTTACAATTCTATTGACTATCTTCCTTATGCTATATATACTCCACCTCCCATGACTATAATGTAAATTGAAGAGCCTGAAAAGAAAAACTATAAAATAAAATAAAAATTACTTTCCCTTTTTGGCTGTAATATTTACTTTTGATTAAAAATTTGTTTTTGCTGGCTTGCTTATATATACAAAACTCAGACAGTAAAATAGGTTATTTCCCAGCTACTATGTTGCATTTAACATTTATTACTGAAAATAATTGCATCTTATAAAGGAGTGTTAGAAAACGATCCTCAGTACGGGGTCAGACACACGAGGTTCGCTACTGGAGGTGTGGAGTATGGAGGTGTGTCCAGGCTGTGTCCAGGAGCTGGGGGAGGCAGAAGGAAGAGGCAACGCTGAGCAGCAAAGCAGGGACACCTTGGAGGGCCTGGGGACCACAGGAAGGCATTTGGAATCTCTGCCAAAGGCCTCTGGGAGCTCTGGAGAGACAGCCAGCTGAGGGGTGTGCTATGATCTGTGTTGACCACTCTGTCACCAGTGTGGAGCCACCTGGCAGGCTGGGGCAGTTCTGGGAAAGCAAGAGCGGACCGGCTCCCCCTCCAGTTTCGGTGCCTAGAGATATCTGAGGACTCCCTGTGAGTCCAGTCAGGGCTGCTGGTGTCAGGCTTCGCCAGCTGGGATAACACACTGTGCCTGAACTTCCGAGGAGGCCTGACAGTGTGAAGTTGTAATCAGTTTATTCTGCAGCCATAGCGATGCCTATGGGAACAAAACTCGGTGGGTGAGGATGAAGGTGTTCAGTGGCCCACGGGAAGCTATCTGAAGCTGTCACTGATCCTGGCAAAGGATGAATGTGGCAAGTGTGAGAAAACTGTTCCAAAAGGAAGCACACAAACAGAAACTGGATCCTGCAAGCAGACAGTTTGTCTGGGCATTGAAAAAAAAGCAGCAATTTCTGTAATTAAATGACACCATTATCTTATACATGATGAAGTTCTGGAAAATATTTTGTAAAGACTGAAGCCATTCCAATGCTCCCAACTTTCTTGTGTTTTGTTTTTCCAAACATGGAGGTTTCCAACTCAGAGATGGTGCTGAAGTTTCACATGTGTCCCCTTTTCCTAAGTTTCCAGGGACCGTGACTAAAACCTAGTTGTAGACTTGTGCAACAGACACCACTGCTGTCGCAGCAGTGCTCACAAGTGTGTGACACAGGGGAGGCAGGACTCTGCATGAGGGTGCTCTAAAATACAAATTTCTACCCCAAAGATAAAGTGGCAACACAGAAATTGCAAAGGAAGAGAGATGGAGGGGGAACCTGTAGATTAAAAGCTCATTTCAATCAATTGCAAAGTGTGAACCTTACTTGGAACCTGATTCTTAAAACACAAACTGTGAAAAAAAATTATGAAATTTATGAGACAGTTTGAAATTTCAACTTCAATTGGCTATTTTATGACTAATTTTGTAGATGTGATAATAATATCATGGTTATAGTATATATACAAGAGTCATTATCTTTTAGAGATAACACACACTGAAATGCAGATGAAATGAAAGGATGTCTTGGATTTGTTCCAAAATGATATGGGCTGGGGTTGGTTGCAGAAGGCATAGGACTGGCCAGGAATTGTGGGGCTTCATTATGCTAATTTGTACACTATGGTGAATGTTTGAGATTCTCCACTGTAAAATTAATATATAATCCGGGGGTGCCAAAAATATGTATACAGTTTTTGAAGATAAATTGAATTACGTAGCAATGTGTAGTATGATATTCGCTCAAAAGATGGCGTTAATCAATGAACGCTAGTGTCATTCATTGTATTACAATTTTAATAGTGTTTTCCTTTCTTAAAATGTGTATACATTTTTTGGGCACCGTGTGTGTGTGTGTGTGTGTGTGTGTGTGTATACATACATGAAATAAAAAAATGGTGGGGCCGGCCGAGTGGCTCAGTTGGTTAAGAGCTCACTCAAGAGCGTGAGCTCTGAGCAACAGTGTCACCAGTTCAACTCCTGGCCCGAGCTGAGCTGCTGCTGAGCTGCCAACAGGTGGCAGGATGGCTCAGCAAAAAAAACAACAACAACAACAAAAAAACCCAGAAAAAGATGGTGGATAGGCTCTAACATGACAACATCCCACTAGGAGAAACTTCTAAATTCTCTCTCAACCCTCATATGTTCAAGGAGAAAGGCCCAGATTGGGGCAGGGGGCATGTCTTGATATTGTCTGGTGCTTGGTTATCTCCCAGTTGAACAGTGAGAGCAGGCCATGGGCTCAGAGCCTTTAGCAGGAAACAGTGTCTGCTTGATAGGAAATGACAGTACAGGTGGTACTCAGATACTGTAAGATGTTTTGGGGTGGTAGGAAAATGACAGAAGTTTGGGAGGCACTGATACAAGTCACAGGAAACATTTGCCTATCTCATTTTACTTATCTGGTAGACAACCATTTCACGCAATTCTGGGGTCCCTTCCATCACTGAGTCTCTGCACCTGGGGGAGATGGTCTGCTCAGGCCACTGCCCACTGCCTCCCTGAATCCCAGCTAAAGCATTTGACACCCAGAGAAGGGGTTCCAGTGGCAGGGACTGGAAATAGACCACATAGAGAAGGTGGGGTGGACCACATGAACCCCAAGACACCATCCCTCATCAACTCATAGGCACCTGAAATGGGGGAAAGGGGAATATGTTTAAGGACGATATAAAAGGGAAAATCTCAAATGGGAAAATGTTTATCCACCATTCTATTTCCCATTGGTTGTTTTTGCTGGGGAAATTTCCCGACTGCCTTAAATTAAGCACTAAAATTAGCAAGCTGTCTACCCAGATTGTTTTGTTTTGCCTGTTTCTATGTTTGCACTTTTGTTGGTGTAATTAAACTTTTTTTTTTGAGATAATTGTAGATTCACACGCTGTTCTCAGATATAATACAGAGGGGTCCCATACACCCTTTATCCAGCTCCTCCAATATCCTAGGACAAAATTATAGGACAAAACTGCAACCAGGACACTGATGTCAGTACAATTAAGATACAGAACATTCCATCACCGCAAGGATTTCTCATGTTATCCTTTTATAGCCACCTCACCCCCCACCTCCACAGGCCTGGCCCGCACCGTCAGTCACTCATCTGCTCTCCAGTTCTGTAATTTTGCCATTTCAAGAATGTTACATGAATGTATTTATACAGTATGTAACCTTTGGGAACTGTTTTTTTTTCCCCTAAGCACACTTCCCTGGAGATACATCTGAGCTGTTGTGTGTGTCACTAGTCCTTTCCTTTGTGGCTGGGTGGTACTCCATGGCGCTGATGGACCAGTCTGTTTAACCAGCACCCACTGAAGGACCTCTGTGCTGTTTCCAGCTGTGCGTTATTATGACTAGAGCTGCTAGTAACATTTTATGCGCAGCTGTTTGGGTGAACGTGACTTTTCATTTCTCTGGGATAAATGTTCAAAAGTAGGTATGTTTGTTTGTAATAAATTAATTGCATTCATTTACGATCAGGATGTTTCACCTACAAATCCATGTTCCTAATTTCTCCTCAATAAATATAAGATCTGGAAACATGGGGCCACAGGGACTCATGATCCTGATGGGCCACAGTGCTTCAGTACCCTAATGCCCCATAGCTTTTGATGTATTTATTTAGCTCCTGGAAAGGCTCCTGGTTTGCCAACTGAAGTGGGCAGAACGGGAACATGATGAGTTATATCTTGATTTTTAAATGTATATGTTTGTATATGCATAAACTTGCTCTGGAAGCTTATTCAAACAGAAAACACTGGCGATGGAGAAGGTACTGGGTGATGGGAAAGCCCGGGAAATCACTTTCATTCTGAGCCCTTTTGACCTTTTTAATTTAAACCATCTGACTGCAAAATGAATCAATAAAATATGCCAACAAGAACCGGAAGATTTCCTCACAGGTTTTCCTTTGAGGCTGCTTTGTCACAAAACTCTTCTGTTTCTTCAGAGAAGATAACCCACTGGAATTCCTCCTCCCCTAGCTCTGGGATCTCTAGAGGTTCCCTGGTCTGTGGCCTTCAGGCTTTGAGGGTGACCCCCAAGACACCCCTCATCGCCATCCAGAAGTCCAATGACCCCTGAGGGGCAGGCTCAGACCCATCTGGGCCTCTCTGAAGCCCAGTGAGGGTTCTATGCCCAGCTCAGGGGCCACCTTCTCTAAGAACCCTTCCCCAGCCTGACTGAAATTCGGCTTCTCCTTCCTTGTCAGGCCGTGGCATCAATGTGTGCCTTCCGGGTTAAAATTCAGCGTACACTTCCTGGACCCTGCACAAGAGCTGGGCCTTCACATGCTCACCCAGGCCCCTTCCTTACCTCCCACTAGGCTGCGCCCTCCCTGTGAGATTAACATTTTACAGGCACTGGTGCTGGCTAAACCAACCCTCATATAATTCACACAAAAAAAACAACTGCAAACCATAGAGCACAAAAAGTAGATTGAATTTAAGACCTGAGATGTCTGCATGCCATCGAATTCGGGGAGGTGGGGTTAGCGTAAGAGCTGGCGTCCTCAATCTGCCCTTTGGGTAACCCCCTCCCGCTTCTGGAAGACATGGTTGCAGTGCCGAGAACAAGGGCTTTGGGGCCAGAGAGCCCCTGCACTGCCTTTCTTGGCTGAGTGATCTTCGGGTCACTCAACCTGTTTCTTCCTGGAGAAACAGGGACCACATGGCCTTTCTGGCAAGGCTTTTAGGTGGCTGAAGAGGGAAGAAGGACCCATAGTGCCCTCAGCGCTGAGGAGGTCTCCTTCCCCTTGCGGAACACACGGTCCCTCTTGAAAGTGTGGACTTGGATGGGGCGCACATCGGCACTCCGCATCCCAGATTTCCTGGGTGCCCGTCCTTTTGCGTGCTGAGTTCAAAGTATGGGGAGCCTGGCGGCCTACTTTGCGCTCTGCCTAGGTCCGGAGGCGCTGAACAGAGCTAAATGAAACACTGCGGGGACGATCTGGAAGGCTCCACATTGGCGTGCAGTACCGCTGGAGGGTGTGAAACCAGGGGCTATGAGCACCGAGGCCAGAAAACTGCTCAGGGTTTCCCGCGTGGTCCAGAGGTACCCCGCCGCCAGGCGCGCGTTCAGGTTCTCCTCACGCGGGCGCGCGCTCCATCCTTTCTCCCCCTACTACGGTGGGTGGCTCGGGCACGCGCCGCGTCCCCGAATCCTGGGGAGCGCGCCCCATTTCATCCCCTACGCTGCGTGGCCTGGGGAGCGCGTCCCAGTTTCTCCCTCCGCCCTGCGTGGCCACGGATGGGGTCGCGGGGAGTTCGGGCCCCTCAGTTCCCGCGCTCGAGCCCCGCTGGGGCCCAGGAAGTGGCCCGAGGCCGCGGCCCTCGCCCCGCCCTTCTCCCTCCCGCGCTCATCACCTGCTGGCCTGGCGCGGGGGCGGGGACGGAGGGCACAAGGGGGAGCGCGCAGGCAGCCCGGCGCCGGGTCGCGAGAGGTGAAGCGCCGCGAGGATGGCGGCGCGGGCTCCGGGGCCGCTGCTGCTACTCGCGCTCTT